TTAGGCTCAATTTGGAAAAAACGCAAATTGTAGTGTGTGCTATTTTAATGTTTTTTTTCGTCCTCTGTTTGGTTTGTGGTAAGGCCAAATTAATCGGTTGTCAAATACAAACAGCGACAGGGCGCTAAGTACTTTAATATTACATAAATTTTGACGTTATGTGTGGATGTTTGAAAGCAATGAATGGATAGATGAATGAATGCATAAATGGATGAATTGATAAAATGGGAAGGATGGATGTGAAGTGATAAGTAACTGATGGGTAACTATGCGAACGATGTCGCATTTATGATATGTAGTGTGCATTTAATTTTGAAAGTATAGAAACAATATACGTCGATCCTTATTCAAAGTGCTTATGGAACTGTCTGACATCTTTCGTTTCGTTTTGTCATGAGATAATATGTACACCGACAAGCACAAAAAAACCGATGCAATGCAACAAAACAATAGGTTTTAGAACTAACCGAAATATGAAACATGATAACCTAACCTTTGTATAGACCTTGCATTCCATTCTTGTGCAATTAACTCTTGGAAACCGTTTATATCAACTCAATTTAAACTTCAATTCACATGCGAACTCTCCCTTGAAGTCGTTGAGAGGAAAAATTGAGGGGTTTAAGGGTCTCTTGACAAAACTGACTCGTTTTGTTTTTCTCAGTATAAAAAGCTCGTTTTCTTAATCAAGAAGACAAGAAATTTCCAAGATGGCTGCTTTACACTATGTCGCTTATAGTTCGCGTCTTCCTAAAATACCTTGAAAATGTAATTATTTAAATTGTAGAGAACAATTCTTTTAGGAGCGGGGTCGTAGCTATTAACTTTATTGATTAAAAATGCCAGGTTAAATATAGTAGATATTATTAGATATCGCTCGTGCCGAAAGTGTGAAAGCGTCTAAAGTTACAAGTTGTCGAAGTGTTGCTAAACAGGTCGTTGTCACCTCCTCCTAATTGAAAGAAATACGACTCGGCAACTGAATAAGGTGTTATTTCAAACAATGAAAAATGACAGTCACATATCATATCGAAATATCAAAGGAATATTTCAAGTATTATCATGCAAATGATAGTTAAACTTGGGGAAACGCTCTTTAATTTACACGCTAAAGGTTGCCATAGTTAATATTAACTATGAGGTTGCAGAAAGTAATGAAATTTCGATGCTCTACTCAGACTTTCTCGATGTCACAGCACTTTAATTTTCTGCGTAAGACACCAGCCATGAATGTATTGATTATTTTTTTATAAAGCAAAATAAGGGAGCAAAATAATCAAAATAATCTTCAATATTAAGGAGTTCTTTGATCAAATTCAGTTCTTAATTTTCAGTGTTTTTAAAGAAATAGAAATTTTAGAAAATATGAAAGTGCTGAGGTTTCTTCAACGGCAAAAAATCCTTATCTCTTTCTAGTTTTTTCTTATGTGACTGAATTTAAAAATTTCGGCGAAAAACTAGTAAACAACAACACAAATAGATAAATTGAAATGATAAAATGATTGGTATAGAAATAACAACAATAACAATATTCTCAGCTATGAGATTATTGTTATCACGTAGCGCAGACCCACGGTCTATAACCGTTAGCAGAATATATATCGGATTGAAAACGTTATTAATCAATGAAAAGTCTAATAGTTTTTTATCAGTTCAAATTTCTTGATTAAAATTACACAAATATTGTGCAATTATACTATAAACGATGAACAACTAGAAATTCTCATTTGACGATAAAAAGTTATAAATTTTTTGTACACGTTCACAAATCCCCACGTATCTATAGAATTGCTTTAAAATCACAAATTGAGATGAAAAGTTCAAAATGAATTATATAAATTGATTATAATTATTGCCGACACAAAAATTGTGATCTTCGATACATTCGTCTTGCGAGATCATTATATAATTTGAGTTGTCAAGAAGTCTGTTATCGTCTTTATGCTTAAAGACTTTAAATGCTACCGACATATTGACGTTATCAAATTGTTAACAAATTACACTTTTCGAAATGAATTTTTCTCTACACCTGAACAGACGATGGGGATTTTCTTCGACATCTGTAACTAAAAATATGTACAGTTTTTCATAATAAAAAACATTATTTCAATGCAGTATTTCACTATATCACCTAGAATTGTTGTCGGTATAGAAGAAGGAAATGTTCCTTTTAATCTCCGAAAAAAATCTAATTACTAAGTCTCAATTTCATAGCAAAAATTTTGTGTTGAAACCACCGTACGCATCTTGAAGTCAAATTAAGTAAGATCAGTAAGCTTAAAAACACAATTTACATGCTTTTTCATTGAGAACAATGTACAGAAATAGCCTTGGATTAAAATTCATTAGCACTGAAAATAAACGTGTGAGATCTCCGATGATTTTCATCTCAAATGGCATTCCTAAATTGCATATACAATACAGTATACAGTATACCATGCTGCTAATTCAGGCAGTTAATTCTCCGTGATCTTAATCTTTAAAAGTTATTGTTAATCCAATACAATAGAAAGTCTATATAGTTCATACCTTCAAGCTGCTAGATTCATTGCTATTCTTCCAAATTTATTACAAGTTCCGCTTCACATTTCATATTTTCCAGACAGATCTCAAGCCGTGATTACAGCACTGTCCATAAGTGGCACGCTCTCACGACAAATTATATGTTCAGTTGTTTAAAATCGTCAATTTTGGTGTTATGGTTGTTAAACCTACCGCACAGTACGCGTTTTGATTAGTTGAATAATTTAAATTAAACATGAGAAAGGTACGACTTAGAATCATAACAASGTCCTWTGGTTCTTAAAAGTCCACTATCGACCGGAATTCTATGCGGTCGCGCTTTAGATTTTTCATACATGGAAAATGGGGCGACTTCAAATGACTATTCGTTTTAAGGAACGAATCTTACTATATGACATTTTTTTCTGAGATAAGTGCGAGTAGAGCATCATGGAAAAGTTACTCTGGTTCTTAAAGGTCGCGCTTTAAATTTTTCTTATATGGAAAATAGGAAAGATGGGATCTCGTAACATCTCCATTCATATAGCATAAAGGRATAATAAAGARTACSTTTTGRCTTATATTACGATGTATTTTTATCTTCAAACGTAAACAAAAGCTTGTCGAAGTCGASATTCTAGCTAACCATGGTCCTTTAAGGGTTACTGTCCTAGACGCAACGAAGTAGGCACTCAAATCTTTACTATCTAACACTTAGGACAAGTGTTCTCAGAATCCTGGATGCTTAAATATGGTGGACAGGCTTGAGTAGGTTGTTGAGTGAAAATATTTGAAACCACGCAATTTGCTTAAATTGAATTTCCTCGTTTGCATTCGTAAGATGGCTTAGTTGGTATATACAAATAGCAAATATAAAAAAAAACAGTTCTTTTCCTGTAAAGGCATTATTTGTTGACATTCAAGATTCTTAAGAAAATTGTTCATTATTTAAATGTGCTTGTTAATGTGTATTTCTCCTAACAAATTTGTCCATCAACTGTGTGAGTTCATTAAACCCGTGAAACAAAAGTTTACTATTAAAGTGTGACAATCAAATAGATACAAAAACCCGAAATCAAAGCAAATAGAGCGTACTAAGGTTAAGGTGTATTAGACAGTTCAATATCTATTTCACGGTTTAGTACTACTTAGCGCAATATAGTATAGATTTCTCAGTGGAAAACATAAAATTCTGAMGATTCTGTACCGAATTTAACAATATTTAATTACTAAAGATTTCATGGCTTTAGAGTTTACACCACTTTTACAGTTCCTAGCGCCATCTTGAAAGGTAGCCAAGCCTTTTCATCATCAGGGAGACTGAGGTTAAGCGTGAAATGTCAGAAATCTCTCTCACTGCAAGGCCAAACACTAGTYTCGTTTTGATGCAAAGGCTCGGCTACTTTTCAATATGGCGGCACTGTTGGAATCTGTCTGAAAGTGGAGTAGAACTCACACTAAACCGTTRGTAACGCAAASTAACTTTGAAGTTCTAWTGCTGAAMATTTAGAAAACTTTAAAWTCACTTCTTTCGTCATYGAAGTGAAATGATTGGTTTTTGTTGACGTCACAGCGGCCATGTTGGTTCATCCCATCATGCATCATGGCCGACAATCTTTTTTCTTTTGAACTCGGCAACTTGTCAAAGATAAAATAAGTAAAAGGTTGTGGTAGTTTTTGAAATGCTGTTCCAGCTGGGAAAAAACATATCCCCCAGATCAGGCTGCTTTGACGTCATATGCCAAGAGACCTGGGCCGAGTTTAAGGAGCCAATCAGAATGCAGGACTTGTAAAAGTCCATAAAATGGTGAATATTTTAGATCTAACAGCTAATCATTTGTAAGATAAAAAGAATATTCATAAATCTCTGTAACCTATTTAACTGAATTTCATCAATTTTATACTTTTATATAACGGCGAAAAGCAAACGTTTAAGCAATAAAGGCTGATAGCAATAGCAATAACTCATTTTGAATAATTCATTTATAATTCTAGACATCAATAGAATGCCAATACTAATTTATTAAACTCTTTTCATCAATTTTATACTTTTTGTGCGACACTGAGAGAGCAAACGTTTGTAGAACTAAAGGCAAATAGCAATATTATTATGTCATGTTAGATACATCGGTCATTCACAATGAAAAACATCAATAAAATGGCAATGCCAATGCTAATTTATTGAGTTCTTTTCATCACGAATTCTTACGCTTAAATTCATAAAGGTATAATGCAAAAATTGGGGAAACTAATCTTAAATTTCAAGTGAATTTCTTATTTTGGATATCATAACTAAATTAAAAACCGTCAATAAAAATTATAGTTTTTTCAATTTTTTGTTTCAGGTCATGCACTTTGAAAGCTTCACTAGAAACTTCGATTCTTTATTTTGGCTTATAGGGATTCGATATGCTACCAGAACTCAATACCTGTGCTCCTAAAAGATTCAGAAGAACAGAGGAACAAGGCAAGTATAATAAGAAAAAACAAATACTTACCAAATTGAATCGCATGTAGCCAGTGTCTTAACGCCTTGTGTATAGTGTTCCTCAGATTGTGAAATACCGCTTTACTAACTAAATGAAGACTGAAATTTAGACAGCGAGCAAACAGAGTCATCATCATAATCAAATTATGAATTATTTCTCACACATTTGCTTGAACTTACACGGAAATCTTTGGCGAAAAAATTTCCGATTCCCTTTTTGCAGTGTCATTTTCCATTCAATTGAAAATATTCAATTCAAATTCTGATGCATGTTTTGAACGAAAGCGAAACAAATTTTTGAATCTTTGAAAGGTTGGACAATTTCCATTTTCGATTTTTTTTTCTTGTTTAATGTTTTCCAAGCAAGCTGATGGCATTTGTTTGTGAGTAAGGAAACGGCCAGCGAGATTGTAATTGATTCTTATTTAACTCGACATCAGCATGACATTTGAATCCTACTTTTACCTGAGAAAGCACTGAGATTGTCACCATAGACTATTGAAAGCTGCARAACTCTCACTCGAAGTTGACACTCTGTTCCATACTGTGAAAAAGAAACTTAGTTCAATTGAACATGGCGGCTCAGCGAGACCAWAACKTGTTTGAAACTGATGAGATGTTATGAAAGGAAAGCCATGTCGTTAATGAATGGGATGTTTTGTTCGGCTTATTAGAAGGAGTTGATTTATTCGGCCGATCACCATGTCAGTCTAAGCACCAGTAKATGATGTCATTTGAATAATTGATAATGAAATGCATGCAGTAGATTCACGACAAGAACCAGTTAGAATAACCTAACAGATACACGAATTTAAAGTTTGAGAGAACTTGCTGTGTTTCATATGAACTTTTCTAGAATTCTTGTTTTAATCTACGAACCTTTTTTTCATAATAAACGAATCCAGGAAGTTCCTTTTAAAATGTTTTTTTTTTGGCTGCATTCTCTGGCTTCGTACGAACAAAAAAACATTTCTTACTGATTCAGTTGATGAATTTGACTTTTTGAAATTCACGTCCGGATTTTGGTAGATGACAAAATAATGTTGATTTTTGCTACTGGAAATGTTGGAAATCATTATACTTTGGCTAAAAAAAATGGTGCGTTATTTTTGATAGTTCCTGCTTGATCATCTTGCTCAAAAAGGGTAAAATATTCCCAACGGGTGAAATTGAATTGTCATTTGATACCACTCTACGTGTAGGGATGTGTCTTTTTGGTGAACTTCCAAGTTAAGAATTATAAATTATAAATGAAAATACTGAAACGAAGAATGTCCTTAAACAGAATTATAAATGAATATTGGGAATTAAAAAAGATATTACTTTGGCAATTTCTTCGCTGCAGGGCGTGCAGATGGTTTTCGCTTAAACTTAATATTCAATAAAAGAAAACAGACTTATGTTGTAGTTTGAGGGTGAACTTCAACGTGTTTAATGATAATACATGCTTAGGTTTTTCCAGTAGATCTAGTCATGACGCACATTGTTTATAGAGAATAAAAAAACTCTGGTAATTAAGAAATTGAATCTATCAACGTCATGTTGAAGGCTACATCAACAAGGCTTACCATCCTTAAATACACCGTTGGATTTATGTCAAAAATATGATCAATCAAGTGTTTATTCCATGTATGTTGAAGTTGATCAGATAGTAAATTCGTAAAACTGTTTATACAAACGTTTTGTTTACTCAATGGATGTGTTATCAAAAAAATGGCGGATGTTGCTACGCAAACTAAGACTCTTTAACCAAAATTGTCTAAAACAATTGTTCGTTATCAAATTCAAAAAAACATATCGTCAAAAGGTGTTTGTGCCAAAATTGGTAGTTTAGCTTAGTTATGGTTTGTGTTCAAACGTTTKAATGATACAACTACGATTGAATTTGTATCAATACATTGTAAAYCACTTCGGAACTTTATTTTCTCATTTTTTGTGATTATTATTATTTTTCACTGATATYTGACTAAAAGCCAGTTTCACGTGGCCTTTCCGTAGGCAAAATGTACTTCTAAAGCTCCTCTTGTTCCATTAAAGAAAACWTTGTGAAGGCAAATTGAAGAAAAGAGATAACGGTAATACCACTTTAATCTGCAAGATGTGCTCAAACTCTTGTTAAAGATCCTGCTATCAAACTTGGTCAAGTTTCAATTGGTCGCCATTTTAGTTACATTGGTTTTCAAGCAGTTTTCAGTCTCCTAGCAATTTCATTGTCAATTTTATCTTTTTTTAACTTGACTTATACGGTATATAATGTTTTCTTATAGCATATGCAATTGATAATTTCATAAAGTTACTTAACTATAGCATGCTGTAATTTATAGTATAAAAAATTGTAGTTTAGTTGATCATTGTAGTTTAGCTGATTAATAGAAAATACGACATAACTGAGACCTATAGATACTATGGGAGTTTTCTGTGGTAACAGCCTCGTGTTTTTTTGTTACATAATATTATTGTCACAAAAGCCGAATATACGAATACACTAAAACTGTACTCATTACTGTCCTCGTGGTCGCGTCCAAGCCAAGAATAGCAACAACAACAAAGTATTTTAATCAGCCTCTGCTGTGTAAAAACCATTTACCATTTGATAGAAATACTGATTTGTTTTTTGTCAAAAGAATTTAAAAACTTCCTTCGGCTCCCGCAGTTTGAATAACAAAACATCTAGCATTGCGAAACTGGTGAATAAGTGGTTTACTAAGGAAAAGCGTCACCCCATGTGGTTATTTTCAAACTGTAAAACGGTAAAGCTGGCTTCGAATCAGAATTGATTTGCAATTCATACCTCCTCAACGGTTTTTTTTAAGTCCTCAAATGAATAAAAAGTGTCATCGCCGCCATTTTGGATTCAAATAACAAGGAATTCCTCTTTGGCTTCTCTGGTCATTCATCCAACATGGCGGCGACATGTTTGTTCTGACTTCATATGAGGTTCAAGGATACAAAATTGTTACAAAATGAAAACATCAGTCTATACTTTGTCTCTTATACAGTGTACTCGTCTGTTCAGTTTTCATCGTTGTTTAGACAGAGCTACAAAGTATTTTTTTAGCATATAGTGCGTTATAGCTGTTAACATTGCTTAATATATCGTGCTCTAAGCAACCTGAATTGAAATTAGAAAAGCTATCACTTAAAATGTTTAACAGCTATATAAAAAAATCGTATCTCAACAGATATTTTCCTGAAAATTTCATAACTAGATTATTATTTTTTCAAAAAAAGTTACTTTTTAGTTTGTT